GAGAGGAGAGAAGAGAGAAGAGAGGAGAGAAGAGAGAGGAGGGGAGAGAGGAGAGGAGAAAGAGAGAGGAGAGAGGAGAGGAGAGAGAAAGAGAGAGGAGAAAAGAGAGACAAGGAGAAACAGAGAGGAGAAAAGAGAGAGGAGGAGAGAGAGAGAGGAGAAAAGAGAGAGGAGGAGAAAGAGGAGAAAGAGGAGAAAGGGATGACCCCGGACCTAAGTCTCCTAAGTGGTTTCGCTCGTGGGGTCTTATTATCATTGCATGTACGGCTCCGCACATAAGGTAGGCCGCGCGCATGTACGTGACACATGTCTGCATTCGGGTTCGTGGCTCCTATCTGGTTTTGAAAGAGTCGTATGATCCTGCTTCTGCAGATGCACGAAAGTGGGATGTTTGCTGAGATGCGTTTATGCAGCGCATGAGCGTTGACCACGAACCAGGCAACAAAAACAAGGGGTCTTGAAGTAGCTGCCGAAAGCTAACACTGCGAAAGCGGCGTGGTACCTTTACAAGACTAGGGAGACTAAGAAAAGCTTGTGAGGGACACTTTAGGAAACAACCGTTTACGACAGGCCTTGCGCTCCTTTCCAGGACTGGCATTGTAAAAACTGTAAACGTCCATTCCCCCTCTTCCCAATGTATGCATCGACTCTCTACTTGTAGGGCTCAAGCAGTTCTTCATTAATGTTGACTTCACATTAAACGTAGCTGCAAAATCCAAATCTTAGAACGAAACTACAACCCCCCCTCACCCCACTTAATTGCAAAATCCAGTTTGCCAAGCCGGCGACTGTCTGGTATTACTACTGGCCAGTACTACTGGAGCTCCAGCTGATGGACCTAGATACCCTTGACTGTGAATACGCGGGGGAAGTGATTCTGCTCGCCCCGTGACGCTCCCCAGCGGTTGGCCTGGAAGATCTCCGAGCAATTCCACCCAGGCCATGTGGTTTTGTGGTAGCCTCGATACCAGCAATAGCCGACGAAGGTCACAGTGCCTTAGAACAATCACGTGGCTCGCGGCCAGAGCATACCATGAATGGCAGCACTACTTTTCCTGAAAATGTATACCCCCGGCACCGTAAATTCAGGACCTGCCCCAAAAAAGGCTGCAGAGCATGCCAGCCTGAGCACGAAGGAGCTTGCAGATCGTGAAGCCAAGTGCTGCACCAATGATCCCCAGGTTTAGGGTGAAGATGAAAAGGTAGCAACATCCAACATTCACCTAGGCAGACGGACGTTCTACGGCACAACATCCGCATGCAGGGCAAATCAAGGTCTCGTGCGAAGCAAGCAGCCAGGACGAAGACGGCATCTATCACAGCTGCTGGCAAAGTAATCTGCTGTGCTGCATAGTATTCCTTCACTGAGCCATACCAGACATCCAGCAGAAAGCCAGCCTCCGGACAGCTTGCTATGTCTTCTCCATTATGCAAGAGCCGGATGTCTCTTAAGTCTTAAATGTCCTAAGATGCCCAAATTTCGGAGCAGCTCCCAGAGCTCACGCCTGCGACCACACAGCGAAGACCCCTGCTAGGTGTGCAACATCCTGGTGGAGCCCGAAGGCCCGCAGAACAGGCTCCGTAACCCATCGTAGCAGCATGAAGGGCCTTGAAAGGCTTGAGATTGTTCCCGGGCTCAGGCGGGCGGGCTGTTGCTTAGTAAACCCCAGACTGACTATTCTTGTCTGCTTCTTCTTTGCTGTTACTGCTGGATAACCTTCACGCAAAACAGGTCAGAAGACAAGGCGAGCCGCACACCAGCGAAGGTGGTGAAGACCAAGTAGATCTGCAACCAAATGCCCACCAGCGGCATGTTGCCAGCCCCGTAAGCCTGGCTGCAGAACATCGAGAGCTGTCCGATCCTCAGCAGGTTGTAGGGAACTATGGAATGTGGCTGAAAATTAGAGGCTGCAGGGTATGAAGCCAGAAGACGCTACTTCTCCCTGCATTTTGTGCAAAAAGGCCCGAAGACTCTCACAACACCAAGCGAAGGACGACACTTGCAGTACAACCCTGTGTGCCCAGGCTCCCTGAGACGAAAAGGACATCCGTCAGCCCTGTCCAAATACTGCTCACGGAGACCGCCGCTAGGGCAATCGTGTCCAGGCGGCCCAACCTGGTTCTAGCAAACATCACCCCAAAAACACTTGGAATTCTGGCTGTTGTCGATACGTCCGTCGTTCGGAAAATCAACGTGATATCAACAAGATGAAACTGCTACCCTCACATGATGCTACAGTACTTGAAGTGGTACAGGGAATGTCACAAGACAAATGCAAGGAATAATAACTGCACTCACAGCCCAACTCTGGCCGAAAGATTATTTGGGAGACGATGGCATAGGAGTCCTGTCTATCTGTGTCTAAACTTTCTAAACGGCCAACCCGACAAACCAAGGCATGATGCAGGATCTCAGGGACATCATATCTGGGCGGTGGCCTAAACCCTTTGAACCTTTGGGTGAAGTAGTGTTGCACTATCGCCAGAGCCTGTCGCAGGCTAACGCGGGCCCAGGATTTTCTGACGCGGACGCATCTCTTCATTTTACTGACGCGATCTCTGTCGCAAGCTATCGCGCGCACCATAAAAGCTGACACGGCCGATCTTTACTTTAACCCTCGGATAAG